CGCAGCCCCGCCCCGAGCCCTCTGGGCCGGGTGCCCTCCGCCCACGGCTGCTCCCCCTGTCCCTCAGCAGCGGCATGAGGCGGTCCCCGGACGTCAGCCCGCGGCGGCTGTCGGACATCAGCCCGCAGCTCCGGCAGCTCAAGTACCTGGTGGTGGACGAGGCCATCAAGGAGGACCTGAAGTGGTCCCGCTCCGTGGAGGATCTTACCAGCGCCTCCGTGGGGCTCACGTCCATCGAGGAGAGGATTCTCCGCATCACCGGCTACTACGGCTACCAGCCCTGGGCTGCCAGCTACAACCGTGAGTCCCTTCTTCGTCCCCCCGGCCCCCCGCTTGCTCTGCCGCAGCCTCTGGCCAAGCTGCCTGGAGGGCACAGGCTTGGCCTGTGGCTGTAGGTGGTGACAGCCAGAGCCCTTCCATCCACATTTGTATGAGAGAAACAGGTTTTTAGCCCTGTTTCCAACTCAACACCCTCAGCAGGCAACTTAAACACCCAGCTGCCTGCAGGGATGCACAGGACCTGAATACAATCCCCAGGCCCTTTTCTCACCCCAGCTGCATTCAAGCCAACCTCCCAGTTAGGGCTCAGGTATGGGGACCTGGGGCCCTCACCAGACTTGACCTCAGATGAGGTTCTGGGGTCTTGTAAGGACTGTGAGCAGGAGGTGATGCTGAACACGGCAAACTTGTTTGTATTTCATGCCTGGGTTTTAATGTGGCAGTAGGTGGTGACAGCCAGATCTATTCATGAGAAATCTGTGTGGTTTTAACTGGTTTAACTGTTTCCAGCTTGGCACCTTTGTGGAACTAAATACAATTTCTCCCACCCCCCTCCCCCTTTTCTTCCCCCGCTCCACCCGAACAAGGTCCATGCTAATGACACAGTTAACTCTCAGGTATTCCCCTTCCTCCCTTTGAGTGGAAAGCTGGAACTCTTTTATATAATCATAGAAAAGTAGGGTTGGAAGGGACCTCAGGAGGTCATCGAGTCCAACACCCTGCTCAAAGCAGGACCATCACCAACTAGATCATCCCAGCCAAAGATTTGTCTAGCCGAGGCTTAAAAAACTTTAAGTCCAAGAGTCTGTAGAACCTCTGGAGTAGCCTGTTCCAGTGTTTTACTGCCCTCCTCATCGCAGAGTTTTTCCTAATCTCTAACCTAAACTTCCCTTGCAAGTTCTTTGTCTGTCACCAGACTTGATAAACCTCAGTTGAGGTTGTAAGATTGGGAGCAGGGTGCTAATCTTGTGTATATTTCACACCCATGTTTTAATGTGACAGTAAGTGGTGACAGCTGGATCCATTCAGGACAAGCTTGTATGATATTACTCTTTCTCCTTCCTTGGAAACATCAGCTTTTGCAATTGAGGGATGTGGAGGTGGGGAAGGGTTTTGCTTTGGTTCTGGGACTTGAGAAAAATGAAAATTTCACTAGTGGTAGCAGTGGTATAATGTCTTGTAAGTAATCACTACATTCAATGTAGGCTGAAATTTGCTTCTCTAATACAGAAAATGATATTTAAGCATTTTATTTCTGCAAACCTTTACTAATTGGAAGGTTTAAAGAAATGTTTTAATGCTCTGCTAAATGGATTTTGCACACATTCTAGTCACCTCTGGGCAAAATTAAGCGTTCTGGTGTTAATCATATTATGTTCAGTTTGGTACTAAAAATAGTTGCCTTCTGCTCACTGAAACCTTGAGTGAAGTGTACTGATCAATCTATTTCTGACAGTTGCTTTGGGTGCTCTAGGGCTTTGGAACATATATTTGATTTTGAAAATAACACGTTATTTATTTTATTCTACTCCTCCTACTCTTTAAAAGTACATTTATTTTGTTTTCACAGTAGCTAAACTTGTACCTGAAATAACAATATATCTTTATTTTATACCCAACACTACTGCTTATTTGCACATTCACAAACTTGGGTGAGAAACTTTCTTTTCATGGACTGTTTACAAAGGAGGTGATACCTTGAATGTGTTTACTAAATCTCTGGGAAATATTTTTAGCCTGTGCTCTGTACATCTCACCCGTTTTCATTTTTACCAATGACAATTGCATGTGACAGTTTTTAAGAGTTAATTCACTCTCATGAAATCATAATCTTTGTGTTGTTATACTGCTCTTTATAACATTACCATTTTCTGTTGTTAAAAGAGATCATGCTACCATAGAGGATGGGATATTTTCATGGGGGGGAAACCTGGATGTGACGAAGAGGGTTTTTTTGCATTCTTAATAATTATGCAGTGTGCACATTGTTAAGATGTTTGCTCTCAGATTTATCAGATTGCCAATGCACTTAGCAATTAAGGGGTTGGGTACAGAAAACATGCAATACAATCTTTTTCAGTTTTCCATGAGCCATTACCAGTTCATTAAAAATTATTGCATTGGTGGTAAAATGTTCATCATACTCCTTTTTGCATAAAAAAAATTCACTCTATTTTTCTCTGACATGATTATTACTTAGTGTCTGACTATGCCGCCCTTGCTCCCAGGGAGCAAGCAAATACCTCTTTTCAAGAGTAAATCAATTGAGTTCATTGGAATGATTAATGTAAGGAAAATTATTCAGGTGTATTCCCAGGATCAGGCCACGTATGGATGCCAGCTTCCGAGTTGCTTATTACCACTCTGATTTGACACAATGACTAACAGTCCAAATGAATTCGTATTGAGCTACCGTGTATGATCTTTCTGAAATAGTAAAGGTCATGCCTGCTATTCAGTTATAACCTATTTTTGATATGTATAATTGCATTTGTAACAGTAAAAGCTAATTGCAAACTGAAGCTTGGCATTCAGGTTGTGTGTTTGTACAGCAGTTATTCTGAAATAACAAAATGACATATTTGATTTTAATGGTAGGGCATCAATATAAGATGGTATTTTTGTGAAAGAGGAGAAGGACACAAATAAAGTGTTTAATACAATATATTCACCTATATTGGATGTGTATTTTATAAGTGCATAATTTGATTAACTATACAATACAATGCCAGTCCCAGATTTTACTATTTTCTTGTCTAAGGTTTGTTTATTTTTGGTTTATGGCCTGTTGCTTACTCTGTAATGAACACCAGTTATCTGTGTATCAGTCAAGAGCATAAACCACTAAAGTATGTAGGAACTCTTTGACCCCACTGTCTACTTTACAACTTAATTGTATTTTTAAACCAGTGAAAGTGACTTGGAATTTCAAGATTTCTAAGACTGCACTGAATTGTCTATGTCCTGACAATTTCAAAGCTGCTAATAAGGCAAAAGGCCCTCTGAGAAACAAGGTAAAGAACCTTAATGAGGTATGAAAAGTTTAGTACTAGCTGTTTCTGCATTTAATGAGCATTGTTTACATTGAGTTTAGCTAAGGGCATGCTTAGGTAAATACATAACCTTTTTCAGTACCAAGCTATGACTTAAATGGTGTATACTGTAATTTAACCTGTAATGTGACTACATTTTGTAAGATACAACACTCCATTTTATAAATTGGAGTGACAGAAAGAGAGAGAGAAGAAATGGGTCACTTCTCCCTCTGTGGGTAATATGTAGAGATCTACTCAAGTCACAGCAAGTAAAAGGGATTTTTGAAGGCTGTGTGTGGTGTGTGGAGCCAATTTCATGGCCTTTTTGCAGCAAACCCACCCCTCACCACTGATTGGCCAAAAGGCCGCAATGGTTCCACCCCTCACTGCTGATTAGCCAAAGGGCTCTCCATTTGCAGGCCTGCCTCTCATTGCTGATTGGCTGAGGGCCGTCTCATACAGCCCTACCCATTGCTACTTATTTATTTATTTAATCATATGGAATACAGCAACTGAATGCCAGAACAAGCTATAAACAAACTATAAAAATCAGCATTAAGAGAGAAGGCTAGTGACAGTTTTAGATTTGATACCCATTGCAAAGCATCGTTAGTAGCCTGGTGCAGGTCTTCAGGAAAAGCATGACATTCCTCCATATGTGTGCTATAGCTTGGATTTTGCCACACTCATATGCGGGGTCTTTAATAAAATCCTATTTATGTAGTAGGTAGTTACATCTACCTTGTCCTGTATGAACCTTGTTCAATGTTGTCCAACTCCACCTTGGGAAAGCAAAGCTAGAGGGTTTAGATGTGGGTCCATGATAAGAAATTTACTAATTATGTCAATTGTGTTCCATTGCTGGATGCATTTTTCCTTGATGTCAAAGTTTTCATCACTCAGCTCTTTTTCTACACTCCAAAATGGCCTTCTCAACTTAAGCGTTGGCATAGGGGGTCGTTACAGGCACCTATACACGTGCCCAGTGCCTGCTCTGACATGTTCTGATTAGAACATATTGGAGCACACTCAATTAATTGAGTCTGCTGGAGCATACTGATTAACATGCTCTAGCAGCCTCTGAATCATATGTATTTAGCATTTCCATGCTTCAAAATGGTCTTGGAGACACTTTTTAACTAAAGCTTATCAAATGAGCTTTAGTTAAAGCTCCCCCACCACCATTTTGAAGCATGGGATGCTGAATACATGAGATGGTGTGGGCGTTTTTAATTAGAGCGGCTCCTGAAAGCCACTCTAATTAAAGCTCCCCCTCCACCCTGGAACACATGTAAAGATGTCCTGAGTTTCTCAGAAATTGATAATGAATTGAATGTAAGCAATTTTTTGTAGACTCTCTTAAATTAGCTTGTTTACATCAAAGACCAGGAGGAAGAATAAGAGAGAGAACTGACAGCCAAGGAACAGGAGTGGATCTGCAAGTACCTGTTATGAGGCTCATTGTTTCATTCAGTTGAGAGTCAGTCAAGCTGGTATGGGCTTTTGTGCTCCAAACTAAGGCACTGTACTCAGTCGCTGAATAAATGAGGCCCTGTTCCAATGTTCTGAGTGTTTCAGCATTGCTTCCCCAACTTGTATGAGCCAGTTTTGAGATAATGTTTTCACATGTGGCAAGTTTGTTCTTAGTTATGTGTAGATCAGGGGTTGTCAACCAGAGATATGCATACCCCTGGGGGTACTTGGGAGGTCCTTAGGGGATACGTGTGGGTGGGTGGGGATGGAGTACTGCTGCCTCCCAGGAGCAGGGCCAGGGGTGAGTGAGGGCAGTGGCACCCCTCTGTGGGCTGTGCAGGTGCTGTCTGGCTGGCCGGATGTGGAAGAGGGGAGCTTCCCAGCACCCTGTGCTGCCGCTTTGCACAACCCCGTGCTGCTGCTGCTGCTCCACTCCTTTTTTAGTAAGTGTACTCCAGCCCCACATCTGGCCATGCACCATCCCCTTCCGCCCGCTCCCTCCCTCTCCCCTCC